CTTTACACACATCCAATGGACCAAGAATTGAATGTTAGGGTTAGAATGTAGCTCGACACAATAACGACTTTACACACATCCAATGGACCAAGAATTGAATGTTAGGGTTAGAATGTAGCTCGACACAATAACGACTTTACACACATCCAATGGACCAAGAATTGAATGTTAGGGTTAGAATGTAGCTCGACACAATAACGACTTTAAACACATCCAATGGACCAAGAATTGAAAGTTGTGCATTTCGGCTTGTTACAAATAAACAGTGTGTTTGTTGGTAAATACTGGTTTTAATGTTAAATACTGTTTTGAAACAGATGATTTTCTGTTTATAGAAATTGTAGATGGTGATTTGGAAACACTACAAGAAGAACTTACTCGTTTGTATAGTGGAACTAAAGTAAAACATCGAATTACATGAAATGATTTAGCTGATGTAGAGAAATCGTCCATGTTACTTGGGGCGTTATTGAAATATAACTAGCACATGTCATTCAAAACATGCCATTTTATTAAGGCATTGTCAAAAAACCTAGCACTTCCTGAAAAACACTTGCATGTTTATCCCGTAAAATACCTGCATGCTTATTCCAACAAAGATTGTAATTTCAAGTATGTTGTATCAGTTAGTTAGTTGACCTTCCTGTAATTATCAGGTTAAGAACTCTATATAGGTATATTTAGTATGACCGGATGTCCAAAGCCAGGAATGAAAGTAGGTCATTCTTACATTCATTCTGGTCAGTGTGGTTCCACCTTGTCTACTCCTGGACAGAGAGGTCACAAGGTCGAACGCCTATAAGCTCGAAAATGGCATATATAAAATCAAATTTAGGTTGAAGAGATAATTTTCGGTTTTGGTATACTCACGTTAACACAGTATTCGGAGGGGTTACAGGTAAAGTAAAAATTATGTTTTCTAGCTTAATCTTTCATTCACTTCTGAGTGGTAATTTTGATATTCGTTACCGATGTCTTATGATTTTAATAAAGTTTCCTTTGTCATTACTTGTCGCTTAAATAGAAAGGAAGCAAGTTTAGCTGTGAAATTAGAAGCTTGGTGTTTAACAAACTTTTATTAACCTACAGGTAATTAAATATATTGTAATGCTAAGACTAGTTGTTTTATAATCATTGTTCGTGTGTTTGTTATTAAGCACAAAGCGAAACAATGAGCTACCTATGTTGTGCCCACCACCGGTATCGAAACTCGTTTTCTTAGCATTATAAGACTTCAGACTTACTGCTGAGCCATTGGAGGGGGGGGGGGATTTAATAGTCTTATTATAGCTTAGGTAAACATAAGCAACAGTAATGAAATCAGTTTATGTTGGTATTTTCCACCTGTCATTATTAAACTTATATTTCAACCTTAAATTTTATAGATATTTTTTTCAAGTACAGATTTTTTTCACGCCAACATTGATACAAAATTTCCGTACAGAGATTTACGAAATGTCCAGTTTTTGTTTGAGTTTGTTTGTTTTAAATCATAGCTACACAATATGCTACCTGCGCTTTGTCTGCCGCTGGAAAAATTACCCACCCCCTTCCTCCAATTTTAACACTATAAGCCCGTAAACTTATCACTGAACCTCTCAGGGGACATGTCCAGTAACTTTTACTATGACAGTGGGACAGCGACGTACTTGCAACACTAAAATTCGGGATTAGATTCTCCGCGGTGGATAGCCCAATTTGGCTTTACTGTAAATTTAACAAACACAAAAAATAAAATTGCCGACAAACAAATAAATCAATAAGCATTTTAAGAAATAATATTTATAATTCTTGTCCAGCTAAACTGATGGTTTTTGATTTATTGTAACTTTATTGTTACAGTACATACTTACGTGTGTTTTGACGTGTATGAGAAAAAGTAAGCGTTATTTGAGGGCATACAATATTTTAGCGCCATCTGTTGTAAGACATTATCATTCTTCTCAACAAAATATTCCAAATACGTCAATATTTGGCCTTTTTTAAACTCTTACCAAATGTAGTTAACAGTGGTACAAAACAACAATATTTTTGAGAAAAACGTAAGGAAGAAAATTATTTTAGTGGCGCCCCCTGCCGGTGTTGAAAAAGTTTATGATATTTAATTGCCATTGACGAATTTCTTGTCCCTCAGATTTGAATTAAGCTTATTATTGATTTTATTATGCGTGTGATACGTTGTTCATAAAGAAAACCAAACAATGTAGTTCAAATGACATGTGCAAATTGTCCTTATTGTTGTCTCTCCCTTTCTCTGTTAATTAGCGCCTAAAATTGACCTCTTCTGTTACAGTTACATTAGAGGATTTTTCGACGCGAAATCCTCCTTATTACGCGACCATACAAGCATGCAAGGCACGAAATTTTAGCGTTTCCAAGAATACGTAGTGCTATCGTATCAGTAAAAAAAGGAAATGTGTGATTCCAGCAAGGTAAAAACTGGTTAGCCTACTACCGGCTACTAGTCGCACACTGAAGGTAGTGAAAAAAGTGATAAAGTTTATTACTGGAAGTAAACCAATAACACGACGATTCATTGCAGCTAAGCTAGAAACTACACTTGGAACTGTTGAACGAGATACTTCATACGGATTTGTCTACAGAAGCGACTCAAGTCCCATGTTCACATTGGACAAACATATATGACTAATTAAATGTCTGTAACAAAAGTCCAGGCGATTAATTTTTTCATCCTGCCAAGTAACAGAGAATTTTTATAATGGTAGAAATCATGTTGTGAAATGTTTTCCAAAGGATGTATTGTGGCTGCACTTTACAAATGCCTCTGTAACGGTAAGTTAAAATCTGGAGAGCAGAGAAAAATGTCAAGGTGAAATTTATGTATTATCAGACTAACGTGTTGACATCTCTACGTCCCGAGAAAGTACCGTTTCTGTACTGACTGGACATCGATAAGGTATGTTTCCACGAAAACAGGGTGTCTAGCCACTTGTTCACTTCTATACTAATGCTCGACTCGTAATTTGTGAGTCGCGGGATTAAAACCTGTCGCCTAACATTCTTTCCCTTTTAGAGGCCGTGAGGGTGTTATAATTTAAAGTCAATCCCAATATTCATTGATAAAAAAAAAGATAAGCCCACGAGTTGGTGGGGATGGTGTTTTCTACCTGCCTTCCCTCTAGTCTATCACTTCAACATTAGGAAAAAGGTAGAGCAGATAGATCTCGAGTATCTCTGCCAGAAAATCAACAAAATAAACCCATGAACTTCGGTGTCTTTCATTTGTTCAAACGAGCTCATGTTAGTCGTCGCCCGCGCAAAGTTTACGAATTTGGAAGTACGTAAAAACGAGGGGGGGGGAACAACACTGGTTTCAGAATATTGTGCAAAATCAACTTGCAATTACATATAACAAAAGTTACAGCATATAATACCATTGTGGTGAACAAAGGGGTTGTAAGGCCTAGGTTGTCCTTATTGTATCGTTACCACAGCTTGTGAATAATAAACTATAACGAGGACCATAGCATAGAATACCATTGTGGTGAACAAAGGGGCTGTAAGGCCTAGGTTGTCCTTATTGTATCGTTACCACAGCTTGTGAATAATAAACTATAACGAGGACCATAGCATAGAATATCATTGTGGTGAACAAAGGGGCTGTAAGGCCTAGGCTGTCCTCCGTGTATCGTTACCACAGCTTGTGGACATCTCTCTGCATTCTTATTTTACGTTATTGCACTGTTATAAAGGACATTTTTCAACTCTCTTCGAATTGTAAGTAGTACTGTTTCAGGATTTTGTGAAGTGTACGTCGTTTGTCTGATCTGCGATTTATTCACTCTTACGACTGATTTTAAAACTAATTTGAAACATTTATTTATTTTATTATTCCGACAAAAATAAATAGAAATAAAATTGACAGAAATAATATCTGTGGAAAAATACAATTTAGAAAGATAAGTGATCTTTGAAACTGTGATTTTATTAATTTCGTTTTTACTAAGAACTTTTGATGCTCTATGATATCATTTTAGGAACTATTTTTTAGTCGTATGAATAAAAGAAATATCTTTTTTTTTTGAAGGTCCCAGTTTTTATCGAAATGCATGGAACCACACATATAACAGTGATTCTTGTCCTGATACTGGCATCGTTCTCAACAGTTATTCATTGTACCAACTCTTCCTTCACAAGTAAGCTTTTTTTTTTTTAAGTAGATTTGAATTCAGCCAGAATTCTGTGGACAGAAACTAACCCGTCAAAGATTCTTGGAAAACGTTACGGTTTCCATGCAAAGAATCTGTCGACAAGAAAAACGAAACGTATTCTAAATCCTATTAATAGAAAAATCCCTCAGATACATCACTCAAAGTTAGTTTGTATTTCCCAATACTACTGACCTGGTATTGTCATTTTTAGCCTAAATAGTATCTTAGGCGACAAATGGGATAAACGGCTAGGTCAGAGGCCTTTAAGGTCAAGGTTTAGCCATCCCTAATTTTGAACTACTTGCCAGAGGTAAAATATCCAGTCAAGTAGCATTCGCCGCCTGTAGAGCTTTGTTTAGCGCTGATTGTTACTCTTATAACGCTCAACACAGCTGAAAGCGCGAGTGTATTAGGCGGCATCACGGTACGAACAACGAATTTTTCGGTATGCTAACCACCAACCCACCGGTTTATCACTGATATAAAGATTGAATTAAATAGTTGTTATTTAGAACATTCTTCTTAATGATCTTAGATAAACCTGGGCACGATTCCTTGCTAATGTACCATTCGCGCTTAGTTAAGAACAATAATTAATTATCATAACATTTTTAGAAATTTGCTAATGTCCTGGAAAGACACCTTCTATAAACAGAAACGATTTCATCTTTGGTTTTAAAAATATGAATATTTAATGATTCACATTACTTTTTTTATCACAGTGTTGACAAATAAAAACTAAATAAAATAAGCATTTTTTTAATCTGCATTATATATTTTTTGTATAAAACTTAGTCTTTTCTAACCCTCATTTACACAGTTAAGGAATCTTTGTTTATTACTTGTTTAAATTCAGTTTAATGCCTACTTATTGTGTCTTCTGAAGTTCAAACTAAATTTATCTTATTTTTATTAATAAGTTATTAACCCGTTTTAAAACAATAGTATTCTATATTGAAGTCTCTCATCAATAGATGGCAGCACAATATTTTTCTCTTCGTCAGGCCGAGGAGATGAAATTTAATAAACTACAGTTTGATACTTCAAAACTTGTCAACTTGAAACTTATTAGAACTTGAAACAAATGAAATTATGAATAAATATAAATTTATAAACAAAATTATCTAAACAAATTATCTCAGTGTTTTACGTTGCTCCGATAAAGTTAAATTTTTGTGTGTTTTTCTAATCAACAGATTCGACAGGTAGTATTTTCTGTGTTTTCGGAAGTAGCGCAGTTTACAGACCAGGAGACGGGAAGTTTACTGTAGAACATATCAATCCGCTTCTCTGCACTCATCTAATATTTCTACACGCCACACTACCTGTCTTAGAGTGTGAATCGCGATCGGGATCTACACTTACCTGTTTCAGGGTCAGAATCATGATCGGGATCTATGCTGACCACCAAGGCACCTCCATTGGACAAGCATAGATCCCGATCATGATTCTAACTCTGAAACAGGTAAGCATATGACACTATTATGGACATATAAAATCATGATGCTGTAATATTATGGTATAGGATTATAGACAGGTAAGATTACTATAGTGCATTAAGGACAGGTAAGATTATGATACTTTATTAGGGACAGGTAACATTAGGATACTGTATTATGTGCAGGTAAGATCTTGAGGGAGAGTGAGGATTTACCGGGGCCTATCATTGGCGGACAGAATTTGAACAATTTGTGTTATGCTGATGATACAGTTTTAACGGTTGATTCAGAAGAAAAGCTGCAAGAAATGTTAGTAAAAGTGAGAAGAAAAGTCTAAGTATTAACTGTAGGAAAACAGAATGTATGGTAATTACAAAGGAGAAGATCGCTCCTGTATGCATTGTTAAAGTAGATAAGGAGAAGATAAGTCAAGTCAATAAATTCAACTACCTGGGAGCCGGATAACACCAGATAGTAAGTGTGATCATGAAGTAAAACGGAGAATAGGGATGGTAAAAAAACGTATTTCTGAAAATGAAAAAGAAACTGACAAGTAGTAAAACTTCTATGGAACGAAATGAAGAGTTTTGGATTGCTATGTTATATCAATTCTCACGCCTGCATAGGATGTTGGACAATATTGCCAAGTATGGAAAAGTGAATTGAAGCACCTGAGTTGTGGTTCTTGAGGACCATCTTGAAGGTATGTTGGACAAGTCACACCTCAACTAAAGAAGAAATTGAAAGTCTGATCGTTACTGGAAAGATTGAAGGAAGGAGAGACCCTGGAAGACATAGGTTGACTTATGTCCAAAGTCTATCTAAATGTAAGAATGTATGGACATTGGAAATTCCTTGCACCTCAATGACAAGAGATGTGTCGAAGACCATGGTCACCAACGTCCAGTTTGGATATGGTGCATAGAGAAAGAGAGAAAAGATTACAATACTGTATTATAGACAGATAACGTTACAATACTATATTCTGGGCGGGGAAGATTACGATACTGTATTATTGTATTATAGACAGATAACGTTACAATACTATATTCTGGGCGGGGAAGATTACGATATGTATTATGAGCAGACAAGATTGCGACACGTATTATGGACAGGTAAGAATATGATACTGAATTATGGACAGGTAAGGTTACGACACGTATTATGGACAGGTAAGATTATGATACTGTATTATGGACAGGTAAGATTATGATACTGAATTATGGACAGATAAGATTACGACACGTATTATGGACAGGTAAGATTACGATACGTATTATGGACAGGTAAGATTTCGATACTGTATTATGTACAGGTGGACAAGTAGGATTATGATAGTGAATTATGGACATTTAAGGACATTTCTTTTACTAAAACATGTTGGAGAATCAAATATTTTATGAAAGTGATTACTGTGGTTGTCTTACTTTGTGGAAGTGATTATTGTGGGTGTCTTACTTTGTATAAATGATTATTGTGGTTGTCTTACTTTGTATAAATGATTATTGTGGTTGTCTTACTTTGTAGAAGTGATTACTGTGGTTGTCTTACTTTGTATAAATGATTACTGTGGTTGTCTTACTTTGTATAAATGATTACTGTGATTGTCTTACTTTGTATAAATGATTATTGTGATTGTCTTACTTTGTATAAATGATTATTCTCGTCATCGAATTTGATTATTGTGGTTGTCTTACTTTGTATAAATGATTATTGTGGTTGTCTTACTTTGTAGAAGTGATTACTGTGGTTGTCTTACTTTGTATAAATGATTACTGTGGTTGTCTTACTTTGTATAAATGATTATTGTGGTTGTCTTACTTTGTTGAAGTGATTACTGTGGTTGTCTTACTTTGTATAAATGATTACTGTGGTTGTCTTACTTTGTAGAAGTGATTATTGTGGTTGTCTTACTTTGTATAAATGATTATTGTGGTTGTCTTACTTTGTGGAAGTGATTATTGTGGTTGTCTTACTTTGTAGAAGTGATTACTGTGATTGTCTTACTTTGTATAAATGATTATTGTGATTGTCTTACTTTGTATAAATGATTTTTGTGGTTGTCTTACTTTGTGGAAGTGATTATTGTGGTTGTCTTACTTTGTGGAAGTAATTATTGTGGTTGTCTTACTTTGTGGAAGTAATTATTGTGGTTGTCTTACTTTGAATAAATGATTATTGTGGTTGTCTTACTTTGTGGAAGTGATTATTGTAGTTGTCTTACTTTGTGGTTGTCTTACTCATAATGTGGTTCATTAGTAATGTGATTTTTACCGTAAGCCAATGTAACAGATATTGAGGATAGGTAATGGTGGGACGAGGATTCGAACACGCGACCCTCAGATGAATAAGCAGTGTCCAATAGGGTATTTTACACTTAGGATTATAGAGCGCAGTCCTACTTAACTACCCTAAGATGAATAAGCAGTGTCCAATAGGGTATTTTACACTTAGGATTATAGAGCGCAGTCCTACTTAACTACCCTAAGATGAATAAGCAGTGCC